GTCTAGAAGTTGGAGAGATCCTATCATCAAAAGAGAACATTGCAAAGCTATGGTTGTCCTGTTTTGTTTTGTTGTTTTGTTTTTCTTTAGGTGATCACAAGTGAAGAGGCTGAGAGACGGGGACAGCTCTATGACAACAAAGGGATCACCTACCTTTTTGATCTGGACTATGAGTCTGATGAGTTCACAGTGGATGCAGCTCGATACGGAAATGTATCTCACTTTGTGAATCATAGTGTAAGGACCACTTAGAGATAAGACGGTTCAAATTCGTACTGTTTGGATGATCTTTTTCCTTAATTGAAGGACAGTCACTTTTACATGGCTACTCAAGTATAAGGGCTTCTGTTAAATCATGATATTATTGCTGTAATATGAACATACATATGGAGGTGTTTGACAATCACTATGTTCCATAACAGTCTTTGTATCCCAAAGTTAAAAGTTCATTTAAACTTTCCAGTAACTTTATAGGGTAAATAACTTCATAGCAGAAGAAGGAGATTAATAAACAAAGGAGTTAAGTAAAATATTTTAAGAATATTTACAAAGTTAACAAAATTATCTTAACAAAGTTAATACAAAAATTTTTAAGTTTATTGTAGTCCTTCACCTTACCCACATTTTACTTTCCACAGTTTTGGTTGCCTAGTTAGCTGTGGTCCAGAAATACCCAGTGGAGATTTTTTAGAAATAATTCATTTTAAGTTTTAAGTTGTTTGCTATTCTGATTAGGAGTTGAAGTCTCGTGCCGTAGACAGGATCCATCCCTAGTGTATATGTGCTGTATGTGCTACCTGATGATCAGTTAGCAAGCCTCTGGACTATCAGGCCAACCATCATATGGTACATGTGTTCAAGTATCCCTGTTTTACTCAGGAATTACCCAGAAGCACAAGATTTGTAATGCTAGCAATTTGGATTTGCGAAAGTGTTTCCTTTAAGCCACAGTGTGAAAGTACAATAAGATACTTTCATAGCGACACCACTCATATAACTTTAAATTATTCAGTTTTTGTTAGTAGTTAATCTTTTACTGTGTCTGAAGTACAGTTACTTACTGTAAGTATATATGTATAGAACAAAACCCTAGCATAGACAGGGTTTGGTACTCTGGACAGTTTCAGGCATCTACTGAGGATCTTGGACAGTCCTCCCATAGATAGCTTAAAAGTAACAGGGTTGGGTTGTTTGTTTGTTTGTTTGTTTGATTTTATTTTTAATGTTATTATGTTAACATTTTAAAGTAAAATTTAAGGATTTCTAGATCATTCAAGCATTTGGAGTTATTTCCCTGAACTGTAAATTAATATTCTTTAATTTTTAGTTGATGTTTGAAAAACTTGGATCTGCGGTCTTTTTAAGTATTGTGTGTGTGTGTTTGTGTGTGTGCGTGTGTGCACACACATGTGTAGAGTGTATAATTAGAGTAATTATATTAAAATAAAATTGGCACAGTGGAACTCAAATTTTAAATTGCATAGTTTCATCATTCAAGTACCAGGCAATAAGACCAGGAGGTTGGCACTATTGTCATTTTATGTCTGCATGACAGGTAGTGAAATATAGCTTAGAGGCTGTGTCACAAAGCTGATCTTAGAAGATGTAGCCAAGTTAAACTGGCTGGCAGATTGCATATCAAAAGTTGTGTGTGAATCACAGTGAAATGTGAGAGACTGTCTGGACTACCTCTTTGGTTGTGTGATTTATTTAAATGTTTGTTTTAAATAATTTCTTCCTAATGATAAATTTGAGATTTAGCCATTCTTCTGTATCCCGGGAGCTCCTGCAGATACCAACATTCTTACAAGTTCCTTATGTTAAATCTGAGACATCATAACCCCCATATCCTCTTTTACACTTTAATTCATCTGTAGATTACTTCTAATGCCTGATAGAATATAAAGTTATATTGTATTGTTTAGGACTAAGGACACAAACACTCAGTCTGTACATGGTCAGGACTCTGCTGTGATTTTCTTTTCAATAAATATTTTTATAATCTATAGTTAGTTGACTCTGCAATTGGTTGAGTCCAGATGTGAGACCCTATAACTATAGAAGGCCAGCTCCACTGCCCAGCACAGACATCATCCTACCTGGTATGACTCATTAGATCTTCTTGCATATGTATAGTTTAGTGTTATTGAAAGACTGAACAATTCCAAATAAAAGTTTAAGTAATGACATTATGCAGTATAAAATTTTAGTTCCATGGTGCTGGTTTTATTTCAAAATAATTACTCTATCCAGGTGGTGGTCGTGGCCGTGGCAAGCCTTTAATCCCAGCACTTGGGAGGCAGAGGCAGATGGATCTGAGACCAGCCTGGTCTCAATAGAATGAGTTCCAGGATAGCACAAGGGGTACAGGGAGAAACCCTGTCTCCAAAAACAAAAATTACTCTAATTATTTAAAGTATATATATATACACACCCCTCCCTTATTGAAAGTTACAAGTGAAATACCCATGTTATAAATAGAAATTGGATTAAAATTCTCCAGGAAAAAAAAAAAACTGAGACAAAATCTCAATAATTGCAGAAGTGACATATTGGATATCTGACTTCTTGTATCTTTTTGTTCTTGTATGGATGATTAAGATCTGCAAATACCTGGAAACTGTACTTTGAGTGTGCATACAGTTTGCAGGACAACTTAAAATGATCATGTGTGCAGTTAACAGTTGTATATGGTATATAGAAGGCACCGTCCTAGCTGTTTTACTTGAACAGGTTTTATTGTTCTTTTTCTAGTGTGACCCAAATCTTCAGGTGTTTAGTGTTTTCATCGATAACCTTGATACTCGGCTGCCCAGGATAGCATTGTTCTCTACAAGAACCATAAAGGCTGGAGAAGAGCTGACCTTTGACTATCAAATGAAAGGTACGGTTTTTAAGAATAATCTTACTGGTGCTGGTTTCAGTACAACAAGGCAGGCAAGTCTAACACTGAAGATGAAAGAAGTCAGTAGGGAGGGGGATCAACAAAACAAATTATGTGTGGAGATGATGAACCACACTATGCTGTACTCATTTAAATATCTTTTTAAAAATGAAAGAAATTGTGGGAGGAAGACTTAGTCATCTCACTTAAGGCCTAAGTCCATCCGACAACTAAAGCTAGCACTCTATCTTTCTTTTTTTTTTTTTCCAAGCCTAACTGTAACCAGCTTTATTAAAGATACTTTTCATAAACAATCATGGTATTTCAGGCAGGACATGGGCAGACAATCAACGATATACAAGAACTTCCAAATTCCCTTCTTGTATAGACTACCAAAATCAGAAAGCCACTATAAAACCCAATGAAACCTTCATTCAACGCTTTGAAAACGGGGAGTAGCTTAGAGTGAGGGTTGACAGTTCACATTAAGGATGTTGTTTAACAACTTTTAACAAGCTGACCCTGACTTTCAGGAAATGAACATGGCAGAATTATCAATCTGAAGATCCACAATCTTTTATAAAAGGAACCAGTGCTCTTCTGAGAACACTCAATGATGTCACTGTAAAGTCCATATCACCCAATAGGCTGGAAAACCAATTTTGGGGGCCAGGTTCCAACAGGTCTCTGGTCTTAAGGGAATTAAGTCTGTTGATGGTACAGGGGGAAGAGCATATAAAAATGAATTTAGAGTTTACCAGACCACAAGGCAATTTGTTGTGTCTTGGTGGCCACCTATGTCAAAACCAGGACGTCTCTCCTGAAAGCCAACAGAAGCCTTTCAAAATTATCAAGGAAAGAGGTTTTCGTCCTCAATCCAGCTTGGGAGATATTTTGTTAGTGACACATGATCCTTCCCCCCGCCCCCAACAATGAAGTGTTCTGTGTGCTAACAATATAGCTTAAAAAAAAAAGTAAAACAAAATTCTGCATTTTTATAAAACTTGATAAAAAATAGTATTTCAAACTGTACAGTCACCAGAAGTACACAGTTATCAAAAATGCACACACGTCACTTGGCGTCTCCGGCACCTTCTGCTTTCTGTGCCTGGTCTGTTTTGCCATCTCCATTTTCTGCAGGATTATTCGCATCCTTGCCCGCGTCGGCTTTCCCCTTCTTCCCCTTGGGTACTTTCTCTCCCTTCTTTGCAGGGGCCTTTTTAGGCTTGGGGTCTGGCTTTGGAGGAACAGGTTTAGCAGACAATCTTGCAGATCTTCTCTGTGGCTCCTTTAAGCATCCCCTTCAGCCTTTCTTTTGGGCATGGCGCTGAACGAGGGTATACAGCAGCGCGCGGGTTTGGTCCATCTGGGGGTCGTCCTCGCTGCTTCTTCCTCCATCTTTCTCCCAAGTCATCACAGCCTGACTTTTCTCAGGACTTCCATTTTGGAAGCTTGATGTATCATAACACTAATAAAAATATAGACAACAGTTTTTGAACTTTTTACTAAAAAATATATTGACAGGATTAGAAGTATGATTTCAATCACATATGAATTCTATTCTTGAATCTTGCTTTTTAAAGTGCTTAATTCTGTTGGCTATATTGTGATTGTGTATATCTTCTATGAACACTATGCTTTACCTGCTGTTACTACTTCGCCTCACTGTGCTCTTAGTGATGTGTAAAAAGAACGCTTGTGCATTAGACTTTCTCAGTAAATGTTATCATGGCAGGTATTCTTAATAGCATATACCATCTTTCAAGATAGCTCAGAACGAAATGTCTCAGGTTATTCACAGAAGTACAAAACTTTCCTTGGGAGTTAACCAATCCCTTGAGAAAGTAAACATTCACTATGTAGCCCTGGCTGTCCTGGAACTCTGTAGACCAGGCTGGCCTCAGATCCAGAGGTCCACCTGCTTCTACCTCCCAAGTACTGAGATTCAAGGTGTATGCCATCATGCCCAACTAAAGTATCTTTTTAAGGTAAAGACTTGTGTGTGCATGTGAATGCGGGTACCATGGAGAATCTGAAGTTTCAGGCTAGGGAGATGCCTGACTTGAATGCTGGGAGTGAACTCTGGTCCTCTAAAAGACCACGGGCTACTCTTTACCTGCCGAGCCATCTTCCAGCCCCGTTCTCAAATATCTGTTTCTCTTCCTGTATTTTCAGGTTCTGGAGAATTATCTTCAGACTCTATTGACCACAGTCCTGCCAAAAAAAGGGTCAGAACTCAGTGTAAATGTGGAGCTGAGACGTGCAGAGGTTACCTCAACTGAAATTTCAGGAAATGGAGCTCATGATGTGTGTGTTTGGTTTTGTTTTTCTTCTAAAAACTGAAAAAGTATTTGGGACTCCTTTCTATTACCTATACATTGAATTATATGATGTTAATGTACAAGTCATGGCTCAAAATATTTGCCAAGTCTATTATGTATAAATCACCATAGGCTTACTTGAGAAGTCGGAGTAGACAATTGTCCCTTTTAGTGTTTGAAAAGTGAGGCGACAACAGTTATTATGGAACGTTTTACCTTGACTCAAACAGGTAATTCAATTTAGGCAAATGTATAAATTTTATTTTTTTAGTATATTGTTTTTGTTTGATACTCGCTGATCTTGTATCAGAGATAAATAAGTGACACTGAATTTTTTACTATATTTTCTACTTTTACATTAAAACATTGGCATCTTAATGATATATTTCAGGTGTAAAAAATGTGAACGATTTACTTTTAGCTTGATATTATTTTGAAGTAATAGATACCATTACAAAGGTTGTATGTCTGAACCTGAAATTCTTAAAAGATTTTTTTTTTAGTCACATAAAAGAAAAGTCTCTAATTACCTTCTCTAGAATTCTGTAGTGGCTGGCCATTGTGCTTCTTTGAAGAGCTAGAACAGTGAGTAAGAGGGCCCATTGGAGTGCCAGGCAGAGTGAAGGAGTGCAGAGTGAGCCACTCAGCATGTGTGAGGTCTGCACTGAGTGTCTCATCTGAACAGGACAGTGAGATCCCCGAGGGGCACAGGCCCCTAATGGCAGTGTAATTCAGATCACATACTGTCACTTCCAGGCAGTTTTAATTACTATCCACTAAATTTAAATAAATACTTTTGTATTTTGTGCATGCCCTTGAAAAGCAAGCTATATTTGAACAGATACTTGTTTTATACAAGAATTTTTTTTAGATAGGATAAAACTTAGCTTGGCCAGAATTATGACTGATTGAACTTTTATTAGCTTCTGGAGAGTAGATGGGATTTTCCCCTGTGTAGTAAAACCCAATAAAGAAAAAACTTACTTTCATCTTTCTGGGTCTAGGAGTTCTAATCATGGTGTCCACTATGAAGACAAAAACAAAATGCAGCAAATAAGCTCACTGATCCAGGCTTTAATAGACTGGGAAAAGCCTAAGTAAAATGAACTGAATTCAAGAACTCAGCATTTCCTTTATCTTCCTAACTCTTAACGTGTTTTGTGAGAAGCTACAGTGTTATTCAGAATATTGCCTTCATGGGGCTACTTGTTCAGTGTTTGCACGTTTGGGGACTCATAGTTTGTCTGCTACCCAAAAACTTCAAAATGTGTCAAGAAAAAATTAATAATTTTAAATGGCATTTGTTTTGTTTTTCTTTGAGAATCGTAAAAGCATTACAGGTCTGTTTTTCTCCCCCCACCACAACCACCATAGCCAAGCTCACTTTGAATTATTCTCAGGTTTAAAGGTTAAAAAAAAACAAAAGTAAAACAGTATTTGATTGTCTAGATGTTTGGTCTTATTTACTGTTTAGGTTAAAAGGAAACTTAGGAGGGCAAGAAGGAAAAGACTGTTTAATGTGTGGCTTTGTTTTGTCCTTACTAATAGAAATTTAATGGGCCCTTACAATTTTGTAGGGAGTGGGTAAGCCTTTAGACCGAGTGTCTTGTAGCTTAGGTTAGCCATGAATTTGCTGTGCAGCTGAGTATTATCTTGAACTGTTCCATCTTTCTGCCTCTGCCTCCCAGTGCTGGGATTGCAGGCATGTACCACCATGTGCAGCCTGAGATTTTTACCTTTAAACAAATGCAAATTTCATCCCGAGTTCCACACTTGCAATGGACTTTGCTTCCCTTCACTATTCCATTCCTGTTTCCTGCCTCTCAACATTCCCCCAGTACTGTCCTGCCATAGTCCCTCTTAGACTGTCACCTCATGTTAGCTATTTATACAGGTACGCACACATGTATGTGTGTGTGTGTGTACAAGTTTTTTGTTGTGATAAAAGTGATCAATTCAGCTGTAGCTTAGTTCCTCAAGTCACATGTCCTAAGTGTGTAGTGTCTTCAGCAACATGGTTCTTGGAAATAATCATGACAGGAACTTAAGAGCAGAGGCTGGAACCATGGAGGAGTGCTGCTTACTGGCTTGCTCCCAGACTCATGCTCAGCTAGGTTTTCTTAGATAGCCCAGGCCCATCTGCCTAGGAATGGTACTGCCCACAGTGAACTAATTAATTAGCAATTAAGAAAATCCCCACAGACATGCCACAGGCCAATTTGATGGAGCCAGCTCCTCAAATAAGGTTACTTTTTCCAGGTGACCCCAAGTTTGTCAAGTCATTTCGCATTTGGTTCTTCTCTGAAGTAAAAGTGGCTAGCCTTTAGGATTCTGTGATGTATCTTGGCATAACCTGTGTGCCTTAGTTTCATGCCTACCTCAAAGTATGGTCTCACAGATTAAAGCTTTATAAAGTGTTTTTTTGTTTTTGTTTTTTTGAAATCACAGAATAAACACCATATGTAAAGATTTCTTGTTGTTCTGTACTCAAAACCTAGGCTGATGATCAGTAGATTGATCTAAAGCTACTCTGTTCTTAACTCCTGACCTCTTGATCAGTAGATTGATCTAAAGCTACTCTGTTCTTAGCTCCTGACCTCTTCCACCCATTTTCCACGCCAGACTTAAGACCTAAAACATGAACATTACAATTATAAAATGTTAGAAGTACATTCAGAACAACGTTTACAGGCATTTGAATGCTTACCTTGGATCATGAAATATCCTAAAACTAAGGCAGGCTGACTGTGGCTCAGTTCAAAGTTTTGAGTATTAGTGAATAGACACAAATGCAGAGTTTTAAGTACATATATTCTAAGTCCTGTCACCCAGTAGGTTGGATCCAATAATTCTGGATCTAATTGTTGTGTAGCAGTTATGATCTGTGACATTCAGTTTTACTGTCAAATTTTAAGGCTCCTTTTAAACTTATTTTATGTGTTGTGCTTATGTCCTTTCCCTTGATTTGTAAAATGTCATGCTTATGAAAATGTTTATAAAGCTTTATTAATCCATATACATCAATACAAAAGCACTGTACTTTAAGGCAGTTTAACAGTTCAGAACTCGTATGTTAAACATTTTTAAGTATTTTCCTTCATATTCTAACTGTTGTAGTTTCAATGGTATCATTGCATTGGGAAGTTTTATTTCCTGAAACAAGCTCTTGCTTTGTTGCCCAGGCTTGACCTCCAACTCAAGTCCCTCCAGACTCAGCTTCTAGAACATAGCCTTGCCTAGTCTACTGGTAGCTTTTAAGATTTTTGTTTTGTCTGTCTGTCTGTATGTGCACCATATATGTGCATGGATCCCCTGGAATGGACTTAACAGAATTGTGAGCCACCATGTGGGTATAGGGAACCAAACCTGGTCCTCCACAAACCAACAAGTGCTCTAAACTGCCTAGCCATCTCTCTAGCCCTGCCCCCAGGTCTTTATTTGGTCCGCCCCCCATTCCCACCCACCACCCCCCAACCCCCACCCCCGTTCTCAGCTTACTATAATAGATCCCACCTTTATTCTTCTAGACTGCTTTTAGTGATTCAAGATACCGTCTGTCTTGGTGGAGGAACGGTCCTTGTATACTTGAAGAAATGTATGTATTCTGCTGTGAAGTAAAATACTCCTGTGTTTCAGATCCAATTACTGGTGGTTGTCAGTTCTTGTCTTACTGATTTCCTGTGTGTGCACTGGTTCTCTCAGAGAAGCATGTTAAGTGTTTTGTATTATGTGGTCTCTTCTGTGGAGGGCAGTACTGGGGACTGAACCTAGGGCTACATTCTAGGCAAGAACCTTACCATTGTATCTTCTTGGTGAGTTAGACATTTTGTCAGGGATGGTGTCTGCTCCTACTGTATCACTCTGGCTTTCTTTAACATATTTACATGGTCTGTCCTTTGACTTCAACTTTTACATCACTTGAGTCATGTTTTCTATAAATAGCACATAGTTGAGCTGTGTTTTTCCTAGACACTGTCGTTTTATAAATCTTTTTATATCATTTGCATTTAATGTGATAATATGTTTAGATTTAGTTCTCCCATCTCATGTAATGTCATGTTTTTGAGCCTGTTTGTCTTTTAGGTCATTTGAGCATTCTCTTAATATCTCATGTTGATCTTTCATTATACAGATGTGTCAGTCCGTGTAGGCTTAGTGGTTGATCTAACAAGTGTGTCTACCCTCCCAGCCACATCCAGAGCTGTGAATGTTGCCCAGTACTTTTATGTATATCATTGTGTTGCAGTATCAAAAGACTGGACAAGGATCCTTGCTAGAATGGGAGTTTTATTTCTTAAGTATCTAAGAGTGAACATTTTCTTTTTTCAACAACTATACTCTCACCTGTTGCCAATTTTCCATATAAGTACTGCAAATGCTCTGGCTTAGGAAGCTCAGCTTCTGGAGTTGAGGGGATTTCAAAATCGGAGGAGCTCTGAGAGTCTGCATGTGTGCTGGTGAGCAGTGTTTTCTCAGGTGGAGATTTCCTGCCGCTCCCAGTATCTGCGTCTCCAATACAAGGGACTCCATTTACTTCACCTCCACTTTTCAAATCACAGTAAGTCTCTTGTGGACAAAGTGCATCCTGTTGTATTTGAGAGGTAGAAGTACTCTCTTTGATTTGGGCTTTATAGGTGCCCTTGTTCAAGGAGGTGCTCTCCCCACCACCTTTCTCTTGGGACGATAACAAAAGAGTATCACACTGGCTGTCCCAGCCTTGACTTCCTTGGTCTGTTATATGGGTTGACTGAGATGAATTCTGGGAAGAGATATGGGTGGATTCTCCATCAGAGTCACTGCAGAGCTTTGGTGAGTCACTGAAAAACTTTGGTGACTGAGATCCCCCTGTCTCTATGGAGGAAGGTAAGTTTTCCAAACATTCATCTGTGATTTCATCTTTTCTTTTGAAGAATACTTCCCACTGTGGTATGTCCGCATCTAGATCAGCATTTTGCTGGGGGAGTGTCGTGGGGCCCAGAGCTCCCTGCAGTGAGGATGTAGTTTCTAGCTCTTCTTCACTGTCACTGTTGGATTCGTCACAGTCTATAAAGTTGGCCAAAGAAGGGCTCTGCATATTCTCTGCTTTGCAGCGTCCTGGGCTTTGTCTCAGTTCAGGCTGGTCTAATGGCAGTGCCTTCATTGAAAACACCTCAGGGTGAAGAGTTAGCTGGTACGGAACTTTGTGCCTTAAGGGTGTTGGTAGAGGGTCATCAAAGAGATCATCATCTTCCTCTGAAACAAACAAAACAGGCATGCACAGAAAAAGGAAGGGGGAATCTGCACTAGGATTTTAATCTTGGAATTGTATAAAACACAATCTTCAAAGAGGCTGCTATCTGTTGAGAATATGGGTCAGAACTTTTCAAACTTGAGTGACCACTAGATTTCACAGGGTGACATATTTTTTTAAAGGATCTTGTTTTTAATTATGTGTATGTGTATATCTGTGTATGAGTACATGCCCATGAATAAGGTGCCCAGGAAAGCTCACAGTGCTATATCCCTGGAGCTGGAGATCAAGGCAGTTGTGTGAATGCTGATGTAAGATGACCTGTTTGTGGACAATCCATAGAATATTTTAAGAACTAAAGGACATGAGGGCCTGGTTAACAAACTTGTAGAGAATGAGCTATAAACCCACAAGTCTAGTTCTAGACCCTCTGCTCTTGAGCCCTTGTTATGAATGAGCCACTGTTCCTGGATAAGTGTAGCCCCATTCCTCATCAAAAATGTCTCTCTACAGCAAAAGGAGACCATCACAGAAAGCTACAACTTGTCACAATACAGAAATCAACAGATACCTACATCACAGTTCCTGCAGCTATGGCTGTTGAACGGGGTGCACAAAGACTGTAAATGAGCCAAAATACCAAAAGTCTGCTGTGAATAGTCTCTTCCTAGAAACGGCTGTGTGAGCAGGATGGGATGGGAACATCAGATGGCATGTTAAACAACTACAGACAACTAATGGCTATGGAGAAGGATAATTAGCCTCTCCAGAGATGAGCCAGTCCCCGGAATTATCCAATGCAAAGTTGTCAGCCCTCAAACCATATCTACAAACTAAACCAAGTTTTCTTTCTGTGTATTTGTTCATAGGTGTGTATGTGTAGTAATAAGAGGCTATCAATCTGAGGGGCTATGGGAAGAACTGGAAAAGGGAAGGGAGAATGATGTAATTCTAATGAAAAGCAAGTTTTAAAAATAGTTTAAAACCCACTTAATAAAATCAATGACATGCATGGACTAAAATACACATACTGTTTCTATTATGTATTATAAAGTGTCTAGTAGAGATTTCCACTAGGTTGTTTAAATAATACCTATAAAGATGAAAAGTGATGTGAATTATCACTACATTACATATTAGTAAGGAATGATAAGCATAGGAGTCTAGAACAGGCAGAACCAAAGATAATAAATATGGAAAAGGAAAATCACAAGTAGAAATGAGCACTAATCAAATATTTAAACCAGTATTTCAATCCAAACAAAAATTTTAAAAAAAGACAAAACAGATTCGGTAGATGCCTAAAAGGAACAGATTTCCTTCTAAGGAAGAAGACTGCTGAGTCCAGTGTACCCCTGAGGAAGTTTGTGGAGTCATCAGGCAGGGCCTGCTGATACCTGTGGAGTCTTCATAAAGGAGTAGAGGCCTCCAGCTCTGGAGCACCCTCTCTCCACTCTTTGCATGCACAGAGGGAAGGCCATGTAAGCACAAGATGGTGGCCAACTACAAACCATGAAAACAACCTCACCGAAACCACATTACCAGTCTTTTGTTCTTAGACTCCCAGCCTCCAGAACTATAAGAAATATATTTGTTGGTCTAGAGGGGTGGCTCAGTGCTTAAGAGCACCTGCTCTTGGAGAAGACCCAGGTTTCATTCCTAGTACCTACATGGTAGCTTACAATCACTGTACCTCTAATTCCACAGCCAGATGCTTTCTGACCTTTGAGGGCCCAGGCATACATGTGTACAGACACACTTGGGAGCAAAAGGCGTGCACATAAAGATATCCAAGGTAATTTTAAATTAGAGTCTAAATTGAGTACAAATATAAAAGCAAAAGTGGAAGACAGGCCTGGTTCAAATCCCAGCCCTATCACTTCCTGCCAGACTTGGGGAGGGTGTGAGGGTATCTAAATTCCAGTGTTCTCTTTGGCAAAGCCAGATTGGAGTCACTTGCACGTCGGTTTACAGGTTAAGCTGTAATACCTGTAGAAGATGGAGCTTAAAAGTTGCCCTATATAAGTGTTCAATAAACAGCATCCTTCTCCAATGAGGATTCACTTAAGGCATTCCACCAAAGATGAAAATCTAAAGTTGTAACCACCAAGCTTGGCTGCTATAAGGCAACAAGGCTTTGTCCAGAATCTGAAGTTCTCATTTCTAGTCAGAGTTTATCTGTGTTCTTAACTACAAGTGAAAAAGCATTATAGGAGAGTAGGAATGGACAGAGAAGAGCTGCCTGTATATCCTCACTGCTCTGGCTGATCAGAGCCAAAGGCAGCCAAATCTCTCTTCAGCATCTGCTAATGTAGCAAAACTGCCCCAGGGTGACAACAGAGCCTGCCTCAGCCCATACCAGTCACGGGGCATACGTTAGGAAGCCCAGGACCATGCTTACCTGAGTCAAGATGGATTGTTCTTGCTCTCTTCAATTTTCCAAGTGGTTTGTACTTTGGTTCAGCATTTCGGGAAGATCGGCATAGAGGCTTTAAACTGACATAAATCAGAACATTTGAAAATTTTACTTTTCTACTTTGGGGAAAGCTGATAATAAAGCATAAGCATTACTTTTAGAGATGACAACAAAGCCAGAGAGAGGTCATGTGAGCATTTGTGGGAGACAGGCAATGCTTAATAAAGATCCTGCAGAACAGTAAAGTAGGCCACGGAAGCACTTCAAGACAGCACAGTAGATACCGACCTCGTATGTCTTGGCAGATTAAAGCCAAACTTGATTGATTGCTCTTACAACTTTATCCCAAGACAGGGTTAAGTAACCAGTGACACCTTCTAGCATCCAGAGAGTAGAGCCAGGTGCTTGTTCCCTACTAATGGCTCTCATTTCCGTCTTACAAGAATACCACAAACTTCATCTCCAAATTGCAGAGCCATAGGCTGAAGTCTAGGACACAGAAATAAGACCTGAAGGGTCTACCCTCACTGAGGGCCGGCTACATTACTTACTTTCCTCCTGCCAGGTTGCCAGAAGCCTTAAGGATCATAACCACCATAGCAGATGATGAGAGCCCTGAAGCTCACCCAGACTTCTTTCCATCTGTCATCCCTATTTCCATGTCTGTGATATTCCCTGGATCTGTCCCATCAGACACCTCAGGAATCTGCTGTTACTGTTTCCCTCTGGAGCCATCTCATGCATTCTCTTTGGGTAACTTTTGCAAAGTGTGGGTCACTCTCCACCTACCGATTCACCTGCCTACCACATACTGCCCTGTAGAAATGCAAGCTAGGAGAGTGTACATTTTAACCGGCATTCCAAATGATTCTAAGTATATTACCATTTAAATCTCCAAGAGAATCTTAAATCTCAGCTAGCAGATCAAGTTCTTAACTCATGCCTTGCTAGCCAGCATGGTGCTTGCTTTGGATTACCATGTTTTTCTAGCTTCTAACTTAGAAGTCTACTAAAACTGCTGTGAGCATGTACAAGTACCTCATTACCAAGGTAACCAGAGACATCACAGTCCCTGCACTAGGTCACACTTTAAAAAAGATTGTGGTTTTGTTTCTGTATCCATTCATGTGTCTATCACATGTTTGAGGGTGGGTAGTTCATGGAGGACAGAAGAGGGCATTGAGTCCTTGAGAGTTACAGCTGTTTGTACACCTCTGGATGTGGGTGCTGGGAGCCAAGCGTGGGTCCTCTGAAAGAGCTTTTAACCTCTGAGCCATCTCTCTAGCTCACCAGAATTGGCTGCTAACACTTCCTTCTTCCCCTCCTCCCGCTTCTCTCCTCCCACTCTCTTCTCCTCCCGCTCCCTGTCAGAACCTGTATCTCACTTTCCGGTTCTCCCTCAGTTCCTGCTGGAGCCCTGCTCTCAGCCTGGTTAGCATTCTTCATGCTTTCCTCGTGATTTTGTCCTTTGAGTTTCAGTTACTGTCCTCAGTGCCAACTCTAAATCTGTGCCTCCTACCTGTCTGGTCCCAAGAAATCCCTTTTCCCAAAGTCTGGAATGTAGACAAAAGCCAGCATTCCTTCGGAGGCTTGAGAAAATAGCTTCTACCTGCCAAAAGGAAGCCTTCTCCTGATGTCTGGCACTTCTGGCTCTTCCATTAAAATGCCTGGGAGCCTGTTAGCACAGCACTGAAAGGATAAAAATTCATAGAGAACCCCCCCCCCATCTGAATTAAGGTTGGCAGGTTCACAGGCCTAGGTTCCAGGAACTAGCTGGCCACCCTAAAGAATTAGCCAGGGGTCAAGTCAGCCAGGTCATTCTGACAAATGGCAGAACTAGTAATACAGGTTGGCCAAGCCACCCTGGGAAGTGACTGACCACGAGGTGAATGACTAGGCTAAGGTCACATTCCTGAAAAGAATGTATACAGGATGTTACTCACTCTCCAACCTGTTCTGTGACTAGTGGAATAATAGAAACTTTCTGTATACAGGATGTTACTCCCCACCCTGGTTTGTGACTGGCTGAATAATAGGTTGAAACTTACCAGCTATTGTAATATGAGTTACTGTTCCCCCTTTTTTTTTTTGGCTTCCACTTTCACACCCCTGGTTTGTGGTTTTCTCCTTTAAATACCCCTTCCTCCCGAGCCTGAGGGTCGACACTCCTCTGTCTGTGTACGGGACACGAGTCTCGACCCAGCGCAGAATATGAAATATACCTCTTGCTAATTGCAGCAAGAATCGGTGTCTCGTGGTCTTTGAGTGGACGTAATCTCTCGTGGGTTGAATGGGGGTCTCCCCTCTCTGTGGGGCCTTACAATCACAGGTTCCCTTCATTCCAGGTACCTGGTTCCTTTTAAAGCCCTAGAAATCCCCTCACCCCTGCCCCTTCTCCCTGCTTTCCCCAGAGACATAGTCCTGCCTGTTCAGAATAAACTTTTCCTTTTTACTTATGGAGTAGCATTTTGCTTTCTTCACTGCACCCATTTCATTTGAAAGAACAATATAAACCCCATTTGTCTCCATTTAAGAACCAGGCTTGATTTTGGAAAAAAGACCTTAAGGCACCAGCTCCAGGGACAGACTATAAAATCTAGAACAAGACCATAAAACCCCTCCCAAAGAACAGCCTAGGGATAACCACAAAAATGGGGAAATATCTTATCTCAGGATGGGTCATCTGTGCTGTGCAAACCTATCTCATCACATGGCTGAGCATTCATGACATGGGAATGCAGACCATTGACCACCTGTGCCCCCTCCAGCACCCACCAATGAAATTTTAAATTACCTTATCCTTCTAGGGAGGTCCCTGGGTTCCCTGTCTGTTCCTTTTCCATCTATCTGTCCAAGCATGGTGGTACAGTCTTCATCAATTTCAGGGAGATTCCTGGATGATATCCTTCATGGCCCTCCCATATGTGCCCCTCCAACCCATGAACACCCCCACACATGTGCCCCCCCATGAATATGAACACACACACACACTAAATGTAATGTAAAATATAAAAGTCAAATAAAGTGGTAACAGTAAAAGACAACTGTTGCATTGCCTGCTCTCCCAGTTCACAGATACCTTGACTGAGAACCTAAAGGCTCTCTGCCAGGTGCTTTTCATAGTTATCTGTACATTCCTGAGAACTTCCAACAAGTATGCATGAATGAATATTGCTAGTATTTGTTATATTTTTGATTCATTGATTCATTTGATTTATTGAATATTTGTTGATTTGCTGTTTAGTTTTGACTGGTTTTGAAGTGGTCTGGTCAAACTACAAGTAATTGGTGGACAGGATTCCACCCAGGACAAACTGACACTACCCACACATTCTGCCCACTAAAAATGATAGGAAGAAATGGAAATAAAGGGAAACTCAAAGAAATGTTACCACAGACACGGGTTCGAGAATCACAGGTTTTCAGGCCGAGCAGTCCCTTGCCTCCCAGCCAACACCACTGCTAGCAACATGAGTCCCCCACAGAAAGTACTCACACGTCCATGACCTTATCCACAGTGAGGCCGACTGGAATGACATTTGGATACGCATTCACTGGGCAGATGTAGCTCAAAAAATCTTTAATCTAGAAGGAATAAGGAATGCACCAGTTATCTGATGGGAAATGAGGCGTTAGTCTGTTCACAGTTCCCAACATACAGAACCTATCTCTGGGTGAATGAATGGAGACGTGCCATGCAGAAACAACGGCCTTTTCTACAGCGATGAGGAATAAATTATGTCTTTTGCAGGAAAATGAGAACATTCTGCTAGGCAAAATAAGGCGAACACGGCAAAAGTGCTGGGCTATGGTGGGGGGACTGAGAACTTGTACATTTGAACTTTGTTCAAGTTCCGGCTCCACAAAAAGACCTTGAGTTTCCGATAAACGGGATTTAAAGATTTTGTCTTTTTATAATATGACATCCATTCCTTTGTCCAAGGCCAGTTGCCTACATTTGCAAAGCTTCTTCCATGTGACTTAGAATACAGCTGACTAGTTGTGGGGCAGTGGACCGTGTTCCAGGACAGGAAGGTGGTCGGGAGTAGATGTAAACACCTACCATTCTCAATTATGAGAACTGCCAGGGTTCCTGAATCCACTCAGCCTTACCAGGTTTTCTGTCTGGTGGCATGGTCCACTCAGTCCTCCTTTTTGTGGCCATAATACACACAAGAAGACAAGGTCTTTAACTACACCTCTTTCCACATACTAATAATCATAGCCAAGGCAACTGCATTTTGGAGATAACTTGAGTTGTTCTAATGCCTATTCTTGTGGACTTAAATAGCACACAGTGATCACCACCCTGGGCAGACACTAACTTTTCCACCCCTTCCATCTTAGACTGCAGTCCCTAAGGTAAGCAACGAAGTGGACACAAGAGCACGTTACCTACAGAGCCCAGAGAGTAAGGGCGGGACTTGCAGTGAAGACTGTAGCCCAACGGCTCTCCTAGCAGGCGACAGAGAACAGCCTGCCCGTGCACAAGCCTGCCTGTGCATGTGTTTCTAGTGGCAGAGAGAGGGCCCTTATCGTAAGTCTGCAACACTGGATGCTAAAGTGAAAGCTGTTCTCACATAGGTGGATGCGGAGTAAGGGGCACACACAAGACTGAAATAGGAAGAACCCAAGCAAGGCTGCTAGCAGTGGCGGGTTGTGTGTACTCTGACTGAGACAATTGGTTGAACTGTTCTAAGACTGTGTGTGTGTGTCTGCATATGTGTATGTGTGTTTGTGTGTGTATATGTGTATGTGTGACTTGAAATACTACAAATACAAACTCATTTCTTAACAATTCTAAACAATCATAGTTTAAAATATTCACAAGTACCTTGATTATTTTTATTTTTATTATTTATTTATTTATTTATTTATTTGCCAAATAATGCTAAACAGAGGAATCCTGTCAGGATTCCTCTCAAGAGTTCTAGAACTCAGGCAAAGCTCACTTACTAGATCTTGGTAAACTGTGATCTCAGTCAGGGTCTAAGGCTCAGATTCTTCATTTACATATAAACACATAAAAAATCCTAGCTCCAGGACCTGGTACCCGGTGAAACATACAGTCATTATGCAGAACAAAGTTGATAATGACAATGCTTCCATCCCTTTTGATCAGGTGGTGGTCTAGACGTGCTTGCCCTCTCTGCACTCCCACTGCCCTCCGCCCTCCGGCTTTATGGTGCTGGAACAGTTGTCGCATGTTAAAAAACAAAACAAAACAAAACAAAACAAAACAAAACAAAACAACCCTTCCATCCCTCTGCAGAGGGGTGACTGGTGCACAGAGGAAGCAGCATCCCGGGATCTCCATTCTAACTGCACTTGAGTTAGAATGTTGAGGCACTTTTCACAATTCTTTATTGTGACCTTTAGGGAGACACATCAACAAAAACAACTACCTGTCTCACCAACCTCCTGCTGGACTTAGAGAAACCTGTGATTTCTAAGGAGGACTGACAGGAAGGCTGAGCCTGTGTCACAATGGCTCAGTACTCCTTAGAGATGACATCGACACAGACAGACAAGAGACAACCAATAGAGAAGAACCCTCTTTCCATCATCCAAGGTAACCTATCACCAACTACTTGCCTGAACAGCGTACATTCATATCCTCAAACCTTGTTGCAGTGATTTCTATAAGATGCCATCCACAATGACTGTGTGAACACTGAATCACTGTCCCCAGGGGGAACCAGGGTGGATGAAGTTACAGGGCATCTCTGGCAATATCACTTTTAGCCAATAGATGAATAGCCTTGTCTTTTCAAAATTACTCTTAAAATTAGTATACAAACTATTCTATATCGTCATGGCATTTTCGAAAAGTTGCGTTGTATTCATTTTCCTACCATCCTTCTATTTTGCCTGTGTACAAATACTTCTTCATCTTCCGCTGATTATTTGACACTCAACTCCCAGTGCTTAGCACCGTAACTCAAGTCTGAACCAACCTTATCTGGCATGTGTATTTTCCCTGTGCTCAGGAACTAGACAGGATGTTAACAGTATAACTACATGCTATTTTAAGTAGTGAAATCACACACACACAGACACACACAATTACTCACAGACTACATAAAGAATAGATGTTTATAATATGAATTAAAACAAGGACACAGAGTATCATCTCATTTGTAGGAGCTGACAATGTGCACGTCAAGGGATTGAACTTTCATCATCTACCCCACTCCAAAGGACTTTTGTAGCCCAATAAGACGTGACGCTGGGGCTCTGGGTTAATTGTAGCGAGCAGGCACACACAGAAATGTGGACTGCACAAATAAGAACCATTGTTAGAAAACAGTGAAAGGAAGGTTGGAGAGACAGCTCAGCTAGGAAAGGATGATACCTAGAACCATGTTGTAACCCCAGAGAGCCTAGCGTAACTGGTGAGCTCTGAGCCAATGAGAGAACCCATTGCAGACCAATGGGGTGGCCTTCCTGAGGATGACACCTGAGGCTGTCCTCTGGCCTCCACTCACACTCACCCCACATACATACATACACGTAGCCTGGCCCCTGAGTTAGGAGCTGACAGGAACTCTTACCTCACTGTAGGAAGAGTGAAAAGAGAAGCACGCTCTGTATGAGCTCTCTCCGGTCCTGAGGGGAAAGCACAATACAAAAGGACACTGAGCAAAACTAAATAGGGTCACAGGCTTGAACTTCAAAGTAGGCTGCTCCGGGAAGCTCAGTGGCTTCAGGGACTGCTGCTTAGACAGGAGTCAACTTCTTCAGCTGTGGAGACCCGCTATAGACACTCTAAAGAGCCCAAATCAAGGAGTTATTGCTATGGCGTGAGGGCCGCTGTGGGGGTGCCTCTACTGTACCAGATGCTCCCATTTCCTCTCCTTGGGCCTCTGCTGATCTGTGTATAAACCACACTCAGTTCAACACTTCACCTCTGGTGTCAGAAGACCAGGACTCTGTGCTTACCTCACGATCACGTTTGTTTTTCTGGTCCTCTCTCCAAACCACATGGTGGATGGCTTGATGCTGATTACGTGGAGTCCAGCTTTGGTTTTGGAAGTCATACCACAGGGTAATCTATTCCACTGAAAACATTCTTCTGCCTGAAAGCAAAACAAACAAAACAAATAAACAAACAAACCTTCATGCACATTTGTTTTAAATTGCAGCTACATATCTTCAACAAGGCTACTTGTAGACTGAATCTCAAAAGCAGTTGCAGATGAGGTTTTGGATGTGAAAACAAAGACACAAGAAAAGAAGTAGGTCATTCCATACGGAGAGCTCGCCTACAGCATGCCGGGCCTGGATGCTTCACCGCCCTCCATAAGAGGAAAGAGAACAGAACGCTGGAGAAGAGGGTGGTAGTGAGAGAATCCTCAGGCTCCTTGAGGAGACGCAGGGCTGAAAGATCGTGAGTTTGAACTTAGCCTAGACTACAGCAATCTAACCCTGTCAAGAGTGAAGACTCAAAAAAGAAAATAAAAAGCAAGCTACTCTTTGGGCTGAGTAAGGTGGCACATGAGTGGATGAAAAAATAAATAAAGAGGAAAGCAAACAAGACATCCCAGGTATGTTGCAGGAGACAGCTTACTGTAGATACGTGGGAGAGCAGAGCCAGAGGCAGGCACATCTTGGAGAGTCTCAGGCATGATCAGACTAAGCTAGGCCATGTGGGGGAGAGGGGAAGGGAATCGAGAGGGGAGAGAGCAGGAGAACCAGGTGCAGCAGCCAGGAGGCCCAAAGGGACAAGAAGAACAGGTAACCAAACTGGACCACACAGGGAAGAGCAGCCCACCCCTCTGGGCTGGAGAGCTGAGGGTAGGGGGTGGAGTATGCCAGCCAGGAGGGCCCTGAAACAGGTAGGATGCATGATGAACCTGGATGCCAGGTCCAATTTGATAATGTTAAACAGGCACCTCAGCCAGGGGTCCCAGACTTGAAATCCAATAGTGACTTGAGAAACAAAGGCAGGAGGATTGAAAGTTTGAGCCTGGCCTATGCTCCAATAGCTTGAACAGACCCAGATCTCTCAGTTTATACTTTATCTACTGGATGTGTAGGTTAAATACACATGCATGTTAGAATATGTAGTTTATCTATTACCAGGACTAGTTTCTAATGTGCAGCTGTATTAAAAAAAAGATTTTTTTATTTATATTTATGTGTGTGTGCCTATGTATACATATATGTGTGTTGGTGCCCAAGGAAACCTGAAGAGGGCACTGGATCCCTAGAGTTGGATTTATAGGCAGTTGTGAGCTGGGAAGCAAACCCAGGTCCTCTGAAAGAGCAACAAGAGCTCCTAACCACTGAGCCACCTGGCCCTTCTCAGGTGCAGCTCTCTTACAAAGGCGTCTGTCAGCACATTCCATGCTGTTGATGGATGAAGCGATGCTGCCATCCATAAGCTCGCATCGCTGAGGGGACTATGCTGAGGCAGCTTACATTTTAGGGGAACACTGTGACCAGGCTCACACTGGATTTGAAGGTGACTAGGTTAACTGTCTTAATTAAATGTCAAAGACACTAGGTGGGAAGAGGCTACCAATCAGAGGGAGGAGGGGGCAGAAGACATTGGGAGGAAATGCAATTAAAATACATTGTATATATACATGAAAATGTAGGGCAAAGGCATTATCAAAAGGGGAAAGAATGTTAAAGGCATTCACAATGGCAGTCTGGAAAACCCGAGAGTCTATGGTAGAATTACAAAGAAATTGCCAATGAGCAGCCAAGAGACTTGCAAATTGCACCAATATGGTAACTTCTTTGAAGTTGGAAGAAGGTTATGTCTAAGACATGTATTTTAAGAAAGAAGGAGAAAAATATAGTTTATAAACATGTACATTTTTTGAGAGTCTCAGCGACAAATAGTACCCCACTACGAAAACATTTGCTAAACGATAATCTGGACATAGCACAAACTGGCCTCCATGGTAATGCCTCCCTGTCCACAGCCCAGCACAGCTCTCAGACCTCAGAGAAGTTTCTCTGTGGAGTGGACAATGGTTAACAGAAGAACTCACAACGGGTCAGAGTGGAGACGTGGGAGTGGTGCTCAACTACACAGGAGATGTCAGTAGCGCATCTCCACCCCTGAAGCTAAGGATCATCGTGGAAGTGGGCACACAGAGACTGGGAGAGCCAGAGGCCTGGGGACGGGCCACACAGTGTCCTGTAGACATGAGTAAAGTGCTGCAACTGTGGTTCCCTGCACAGATCAAGCCAGTCAATATTTATTTAACACAGAGGGAGAAGTGTTCACGTGCCCCCACTCCAGAGACGCTGTGAATAGTCAATAGGCTTCTGGAAGAGCAAGTCAACTGTGCTCCAGTGGATGGCCCCACACCCAGAAATATATGGGGAGCACAAACTGAACTCTATGAGTTATTACAACCAACAAATAAAAATAACAGGCCGCATGCCGGTGGATCAGTAGGGAAATAGGGGTGGATCTGAGAGGATCTGGGGGAGGAGTAGAGGGTAAACATGACTAAAATTACATTGTGTGAAATTAATAATTTGCTTAAATTATAAGCTGGCAAGATTACTAACTTCACTATAAGTAAATTTTCATTCTCATGTGGAGAATCACTTTTATGTAGAAAATGTAAGAAGCTGTGGCTGTTACTCATGCTGAAGTACAGATCATGGGATACAGGTATGTAGAGCTGTATAACCTCCAACTAAAGGTCTAGGATCACAAAAAGGCTCGGAAGAGAATCTCTGAGCTGCCTTCTTCATGCCAGTCTCTCAGGTCCCGTAAGCGACATGACAGGAGTTTCCCCAGTACCTTTGGGTGGCGGCAGGCGTGGATCTGGGTGTTTCGATCCGTCGTGAGATGGTGCAGGATATCAGGCATGTTTTTAAACATGTCCAGCTTGTTCACATGAACCTGTGCATAACAGCAGAGGAAAGCACATTGTTTGAAATGCATTCCTAAGAATAAATAGTTCTGGGGATCATTAGTCAAGGGAATTGTCCAGAGTGAATAAATCTTCAATTTTCTCTTGCAGTCTAGTCCTGAACTATTTCAGTGCATGGTAATATTCTGCCAGGATGTCACTAGGAAAAGGACTCATCTCAAAGGGTGCATCTTGTTGTGTTAATACTGTCCTTCAAGAATCACTTGAATCATACTGATTATCGATGTCAAACTCAGTTCTAAACCCCAGGAATATATATATATATAGCAGAGAACAAGAAAGAAGCAATAAAGAATCTTCTACTGGGCTGGTGAGACAGCTCAGTAGGTAAAAAGAGGTGTGTAAGCCTGGGGATATGAATTCAATGCTCAGAACCCACATAAAGGAGGAAGGAGACAACTAACTATTATGAAGTTGTCCTCTCACCTCTACAAGTACTCTGGCGTGCTTGTCACCCCCAACAAAGTGCACCCCACTGTAATGGCATGCTACATGCCACACAGGACAGCAGGACCTGGATTGTCCTGTCTCATAAAGCTTCACTGGGCAGAGGAGAGAAAGAGGCAGGAAAAACAAACAAACAAACAAACAAACAAACAAAACCCCCTCAAACCTGGCTGCCCTTGAGAAGTTTACGGCTCATAACAATTTAAAGTATTAAAACCAATTATGTAAGCTTTACTAAAAGCTTGTCTTCTGGGTCTTTCAAAGTAGATGATATTAGCTTAAACTTATACTAGTATCATGAAATAAAATAGTAGCATTCTTTGTTAGTATGAAACCAACAAACACCCTGAAATCATGTCCAGTTGCTGTGCTGGCCGGGACGAGGCAGGATGCAGAAAGAACTCAGTACAACTACTCATTTACCACATGGCCATTCGGCTTCCAACTGACTTACTTATGACCAATAAGAAGGGAAGGAAGGGATGGGGGAGGGGGAGATGGAACAGCCAGTAAAGTCTGCCTTGCAAGCATAATGCAAAAAAAAAAAAAAAATTTCTGGCTATGGTGGCCTACACTTGTGATCCCAAGGGAGGAGGTGAGAGGTGGATCCCTGGGCCTCACTTGACAGCCAGGCTACCTGCTGAATTCCAGGGCACTGAGAAACTCTGTCTTAAAAGAAATTAACTTTTGGCCTCTAACACACATGCACAGTATATATATATATACATGCATGCATGACCACATACAGAGAAAATTTAAGCCAAGTATAGTGACAGGACTATAATCCCAGCACTCAGAGGGCTGAGGCAGGAAGATCACAGGATTGAGGTCAGTCTGGCTATAGAGTGAGTTTTCAGACCAGCCTGGGCCATGGGCCTGCTCCCCTCAGATAAAGAAGAAATGAAGAAGTAACAGTGACTGTGACTTCCTAGACTCTCTAAGGAATATAGGAAGGAAACAGAGTGAACCCCAAAAGAGAATCCTCATAGAAATGTCTGGAAAGATAGCTGCAGATTATCCCTGAGCTACCTTAGTAGTAAACATCACTGTTTTCTCTTGTGAATGCCTGATCTAGACCTGTCCCATCTCTGGCAAAGGGACATAAGGAAACTCTGGGATCAACATCAAATGCCTCTCCCTGAAGCGCTCTTCTGCCCCTGGCTTCTTTCCCCTGGGGCTCAGAGAGGTAGTTTCCACTCTTTAGACACCCCTAAAATTACACCACAAGTTTAGTGGAGGCAAATAGTTGCCACCTTTATAGATTACAGAGACGAGGTGTGAAAAAAGAATTTAAAAGACAGGTAATTCAGATAAGTGAATTTGTGTGTTTGTATATGTGTGATGTGTGAATATTATCACTACTGTGACTTTTTTAATTTTAAAGGACAATGCTGTCAATAACTGCATGTGATACATCCAGACATTACTTGGTTCAAATTTAGTTTTGATACTGGTCACAATCATTGTATTTATTTCATAACCCACACTTTGGAGAAAAAATACTTTGCCTCTGGGGCACTGAAGACTCTTCTGCCCTTCATGGGCTGTGACATCCTTTTGTGAGAACATGCACCTAAAAGAATGAGGAGAGTTCCAAGAGGCCAGCCTCTGCTGCAGCTGTATGTTAGCAAGCGGCTCCCACCTCTCCCTGGTTTCAGTGTTTTGGGGGAGGGGATAGAACAGGATGGGAAAAGCCTGGAAAGGGACTGGTACCTGGACACCCAGCTCCTCACTCAGGTTGGTGAATAAATACTCGTAGCCATAAGCTGCTTTACAGTTCAGCCACACGACGTGGTGCGGACTCCTCGTGACCCAGCTCCGAACCAGCTCCAAAATCCCTCTCAAGCACTCCTCCTAGACACCAACAAAATTTGATACTTTGGAGAAACTCATACCTTTTGCCTCTGTGACATCAGAAGTAATCACACCCAAGGGGACAACTACACCCTCCCAACAAGACAGGTGGCCACACCAGCTCACCACTCCAGGCAGACTCGTCACCCCAGGAATACTCATAGCCAGGCAGACCTGTCACCCCAGGCAGAGTCATCACCCCAGGCAGACCCGTCACCCCAGGAAGATCTGTCACTCTAGGGAAACATACACGACTCGGGATTTGGTAAAACCTTGGGTCACAGAAAGTGGTGTCTAAATACACACTTTGGATGTCTTTTACTCTGAAAAGAAAAAAAAATAGTGTTAGCCATTTCATGGGACATAATTGTGTATAAAATAATGTAGACTCTCAGGTATTTGAGCTCGTTCCATTCCACTTCAAACATTTTGTTCATCAACTTTACTGAAAAGCAGTGTCCATACAATAAAATACAATAAAAGGATTTTTGGATCCAAGAAAAAACTTGGTGGGTAAAGGCAACTTTTACCTTTCACCATGCTTGACGGCTGGAGTTAGATCCCCAGGGCCCATTTAGTGAAAGAAGAACCGACTCCCACAAATTATCCTCACCTATGCATGCGCGCGCGCGCACGCACACACACACACACATACACGCAAATAAAATGTAAAAATACTGACTTTTGCACGCCTGATCCAGTGACTTTTGCACGCCTGATCCAGTGACCTTTATCGATTTATGTCACCATCATTCCATTCCAATCAGTGTACAGAACACCGCATGACCTCATTTTAAAGAGGGGAATTTGCACTACTATTAAAACCTTTAAAAAAAAAAAAAAAAGACTGGGCCTCACTGTGTAGCCCTGGCTGTCCTAGAACTCAGGCTGGCCTTGAACACAGAGATCCATCCGCCTGCCTCTGTCTCCCAAGTGCTGGGATGAAAGGTGTGTACCACCACCGCCAGCTTTACTACAACTTTTACAATCAAGTTGAGTTTTAATCTGACAAACGCTTGGAATGATGGGGACAATGTGCACGCACACACAAACATGCATACACACCCTCACACATGTATTCAACTCAAGGTACACAGTCAAGAATTCTAGAAGGTGCTATACCTGCCCCCAGAGTGTAGAAGCTCCATTCTGGAAGTTTCTCCTTTTGCCAGTCTGAAGTCTCCTGTGTATAAGACAGTTCCATTACCGCCCTGAAATAAAAACCTGAAAAATAAGCACACCGCAATGACTTCCAAATTACAAAGTCCTAAGGAACCAAGCAAAGGCTAAAACCTCAGCAAAGGCCTCCTGCCCAACACATCCCTTACAGTGTGATGCTAAGTCCAAGTAATGCCACCTTTCCCCACGAGTAGCAAAAAGTAAATACAATCAAAGAAGATGAAATGGTAGGGCAGGTGAGCTCTAGGTGTGGCTGTAATGGTCGAGCACTTCAGATATACACTCAGATCATTCTACTCCAGGGAGAAATGCCTGGGAGAAGACAGCCCAAAGTCACAGGAGAAACACCACTTAAAGGCATTCACACTCCATATGGTCCTCATCTCAGCTCCCCAAGTTCGATTTTGAAATAAAATTAAAGGCACTGCCAGAAAAAGAGTATCTATCTCTGTACACGTACTACCTTTAAATCCTAAAAAGCTATTTCTACAAATATGGTATGTATATAATAGAAAGAAATGGAAACAGACAGGCCCCCTTACATAACTGATCCTGGGCAGTGACCAGCTGGTAAGAGAGTCACAACAACCTCTTCCTTCTAAAAAGAAAATAAAGAACAAAAAACAGGAACGGAAGTTATCATTAGGAGCTGGCTAAATTCACGATGTATAACAAGAACACACCTCTTTCTCATTCCCCCGTGGTCCAAACCCCAGAGTAAGGGGAACCCTTGTCCACTCCCTTAATAGAACTAGGACAGGATGCACTTCCAATTCTAGGTGTGCGCTCAGGAGAATGCTCACACAGACGTTTGTTCTCGATGCCCACTGCATGACTACTCACACCAGCCCCAAAGTAGAAACACTTCGAAATGTCCAGCAGCCAATAAATAGATAAACAGAGTGTGCTTTGTCCAAACCATGCTATACTCTTTGGCCATAAAGATAAATCCATACATGTATGCCACCCATATACATGGATGCCTCTTGAAAAACACGCAGAGAAAAAGTCGCGTGGTGCAGAATAATTCCACAGATAGGCAAGTCCAAAAAGACAAAAAGGAAACGCTAGTTACCAGGAGCTGGGGCTGGAGGGGTGGGAGTGCCTGTAAAAGGTCTGGGTTTCTGAGTGATGAAAACACTCTAAAATTGACTGTGGTGCTGAAGAGATAGCCCTGTGAATGTACTGAAGCCATCAGGGCTTCAAACGGGTGAACTGTGTGACGGTAAATACTGCAGGAGCACTAATACTGATTAAGGGAGTAGACGCAGCCTGGTCCCGGGTCACGTTGAACATGACATTGTCCCTTTAGGACAGAGCCTGCTGGGTACCACTGACTCTCCAGCCCTCCAAGAAGCGGACAGAGCTCTGTCTGCAACAGTTCACTGCTCAGTGATGATTCCTCACCCTCTGCCTCCACTACTCATCCTCCAGGCCCCTCTCAACAGGGGTCTCCTAGCTGGGGCAGGACACATACTGCACAAAAGCCAGGTCACAGGACAAGGCATGGAACCATTGGCACAGCAAGACCTCTCCCAAGAGCTTGCCTTACCACTCAAGGCTGGCCTTGGAGGAAGCATCTGCAGGTGACAAGGCCAATAAAACACCTCTCCCCAGTCACACTTTCGAAGATTCAGGCCTGCTCCCCGCCTGCCTGCCTGTCTGCCTGCCTACTTGCCCTTTCTCCATCCCTCCCCCCTCCCTCCCTCCCTCCCTCCCTCTCTCCCTGCTTCCCTCCCTCCCTCCCTCCATTCATGTTTCAAGTTTCATCCCTACTGCCTACTAAACCTGGCTCTACCAGGATGAAATTCTGAAGAATATTTGTGACCTTCTCCTAAGGAGAAACATCTAGAAGGCCATCTCTCTTCTGATCACGGTCACACGTGTGGGTCACCCAAGTCCCACACAGTGAAGCCACAGATAATGGTGCTATAACAGACTACAGAGCAAATGCTAACTCAGCTTCCAGAAGACAGAAAGACCCCTCTTAGCCTAGGGTGTCATTTCGATGGGGTTTTGCCTTGTTTTGTTTAAAATTGGTCTACAATCTTATTCACTATTAAAACAATACATTCAAAAAGTACTAGTACTAAATTTAAAGTTGAAAAATAAATTCTATTGACTTGGGCAGAGACTTTATTTATTAAAGGTTTATTTATTTAATGTCTGAATATCTGCATGTATACCTGTGTGCCTGAAGAGGGCCCTAGATCTTATAATACATGGTTGTGAGCTACCATGTGGTTGCTGGGAATTGAACTCGGGACCTCTGGAAGAGCAGCCTTAACCACTGAGCCATCTCTTCAGCTCAAGACTTTATTTTAAAACAAGGAAATTATTTAAGAAGAAGATAACCATTACACTTGAATTTGCTTCAAAAAATTAACTAACCACTCTTTATGTCTCAGATGTAAGAAACTTAATAAGTGTGACACTGATTTTGTATAGTATTAACAAATAACATTCTCATCATGAGCATGTAAAACTAAAAAACAAAAAAAAATGGCAAAAGATTAAAAAGAAATATACCATGTTTAATCTTTCTAATGTTGGAAATAATTATAACACTCTATGACTAACTGTCTCTATCCCCTGAAGCATTGGGGTTGAAATAGTAACCTCTGGGAGTTTAATTAAGACTGTTGACTGGTGACTAGTTCTTGAAATTAACTCCCCAGTGAACAGTGTTCTCTACTGTTTAGTTCCCCTCAACTGTTTCACTTCTCCTACTGTGTGAAGACCCAGGAAATGATAGCCTAAGAAGTCACAGTGAA